AATCACAGGAATGAAGAATAGATTAGTAATGCTGTGGGCTAAGGAGGGGTGGAGGTGGGAGGGAAGAAGGTGTGGCTACGAAAAAAGGGCCACAGGAGGGTCCTTGTGGTGACAGAATGCTGTGTCCTGACTATATCAGTGTCCCGGTTGTAGCATTGAAGAGGAGGCAAAGGAAGCAGCACTTGGTTCAATGAAATACAATTGACAGACTTAAACCCCAAAGAAGAAAACGGGCTGGTTGTGTGCTAAATCTCTGTGTGTGTGTGTGTGTGTGTGTGTGTGTGTGTGTGTGTGTGTACATAGTATTTAAATGTTTAATTTATCCCTGGCTGATGTGGCTCAGTGGATCTAATGATGGCCTGTGAACTAAAGGGTCGCCGGTTCCATTCCCAGTCAGGGCAAGTGCCGGGGTTGCAGGCCAGGTCCCCAGTAGGGGGCACACGAGAGACACCCTCGCATTGATGTTTCTCTCCCTCTCTTTCCCACTCCTCTCCCCTCTCTCTAAAAATAAATAAATAAAATCTTTTCTTAAAAACCCCACTGATTCTAAATAAACAAATAAATGTTTAATTTATCTGCTGACATTTAAAGTTTTTGCAGAATGTTACCATTGAGGGAAACTGGGTAAAGGAAACATGGGATTTCTCTGTATTGTTTTGCACAACTGCAAAATAAAAGATTTAATTAAAAAAAATAAAAAGAAGAATGTTCCTGTCCTCAATGAGTCCATGTTTAGGGAATGAAACGCCACCATACGTCACAGTGTGGTGACAGAGGACAGCCTAGCCTGGCGGGACAGGGAGGGCTTCCAGTGCAGCGACACTGGAGCTGAATCCTCCAGGGTTAGCAGGTCCGAAATGAGGGAAGGGCGTCCGAGGCAGGCGGGGCAGCATACAGGTGAGCGGGGCAGGCCCATAAGTAAGATCTCAGCCCTTCCATTGTGAAAACGCATGATGTGGGCTATTGCCCACCTTGCATGTAACAATTTTAAGTGATGGATAAAATTATCCTCTTTTATTTTCGTCACCCTTTGATGCCTGCTGTTGCTTGTCTGTAGAGAGCCCAATGGAAGGGGGGAAAGCATGAAGATTCTTTTGTGACACAGCACGCCAGGGAGAGGGCGCCTTTGTTCAGCCTGCCAAAATCATCTTTCATGTTCAATTTAGTGAAAAGGCAGATGTTAATGTTTTTCCTGTTGAGATCACTTCTTTTTAAAATTCATGGTTGTTGCTTTTTTTTCTTCATTGGCATAGTCCTGTTTTACATATAACAGCAGCTTAGTGGTGGAAAGGGTGAGGATTTGGGGCTCAGAGGGCCCTGTATTTGAATCTCAGTTTTACCACTTACTAGCTGTGGTGTTGACCTTCAGTTTCCCTCAGTCCCTTCATCTCAATGGATGATACTAATTACACTAAACTGGTCAGTAACACCGAAAACACAATACACGTGGTGGCGATTAATAAGAAAACATCTGCCAAACAACCCAATATGCCTGACTCATAATAAGCACTCAGAAATGATATTTGTTATGATTAATAATAATTCTAGCTTATGTAAGAAATTAAAGATATGCACTTTTCACAGTGCTCTACAAATAGTACCAGATTTCCAGGGGCTTTGCTTGTATCAGCCAGGATAGTTTAGGTTTTGCTGTAGTAACAAACATCCCCCTCCCAAATCTCAGTGGTTCCCAGCAACAAAGGTTACCTCCTGATCACAATGCATGCCCATCAGCAATCAGGTGCAGTCTGATCCCTCCTGGACCCAGGACAATGGAGCAGCCAGCCTTTGGCATTTTATATCAGCATTAAATGCAGTGGCTTAGAATTGACATATATCATTTCCATTCAACAGTCAGTGGTCAGAGTTCTGGTTACACATTTCCACCTAACCATAAGGAGGACAGGAAGAATGATCCTACCGTGTGTCTAGAAGGGGGGAAACCAGAAGAATGTAGCCAACAGCCCTAGTCTACTACCACAATGCTTTGGAGAACCACTGGCCAGCCCGAGGGATGGGGTAGATGACAGGAGGGAAGCCTGAGGCAGAGGGGGCACCAGGAGGTCACAGAGGGGCCACATGGAAATTCTAGGTCAACGTCCAGGGCTGAGGCTGGAGGGGCACGAGGCTCCTTTCTCCCTCGGACCTGACCCATGCTCATCCTGGCCCTCTATGTTCTGCAGACAAACAGCCAGCCCTGCTAGGAGTCCTTGTTCTCAATGTGGACGGTGAAGGTGGATGTGGGCTGCTTCCCTGGCCCTGCAGCTGATGGGCAAAGCAGGGTCACACAGCAGTGTGTCGCTGGCTCCACCCTTCCTGCTCGGCTGGTTTCCAGGACCTACTGGATTCTTAGACAGTTTCAGGAGCCTCCGCGGCAGCGTGCGGTGTGCTCTCACCCTGGTCCTTTCCGGGTGCAGCCTCCGGCCCGCCCTCCCTGCTCTGGCTCACCGGTCTCCTGTTACTGCTGACGTCAACGGCGGCAGCGCTGTGGCATTGTCCTCAAGGTCCCCTGGCTGCCCACGCACAGCTCCAACAGCAGAGATGTCTGTGCCCACAGTGCCACCTAGTGTTCCTGCAGAGGCTGCTGGCAAGGTCCAGTGCCCCAAAGACCCAGATTTCCGACCCACAGCCCTTGCTAGAGGACTCGGCCTGAGCCCCAGCAGGGGAAGCCTGAGTGGCCCCACTGTAGCTCCATCAGCCTCCTTTCTGACCCACGCTGGTCTTCTTTCAGATCCTGGGCCTCAGGTCTTCTTTGTCTCCCTCCCGGCCCCAGGCCTTTGCAGATGGACGTCCTCTGTCTCAAATACTCCCACCGCCACTGTGTTCCCTGTCCTCCGCAACCTTTGAATGTGACCTCAAATGCCACTTCTTCAGGGAAGCCTTCCTTGACTCCTCAAACTAAGCCAAGTGCCCCAATATGTAAGCTCTCTCTCCTTACTGTTGGATTGGCAGGTAGTGATGGAGGATCCAGAAGAAGAGATACCCACTGGCCAAAGCATTTCCAAACAGCAAATTCTTCACATTCCTCACGAGACTTGGTGCCTCCCCCGACAAGCTGCTCACTCACCATTTGTGCCCTTCAGAGGGCCCGTCAGACACGTGAGGGGCCACGTGTCTGATGGGCCCTCAGTGAGAAAGCCTCCGTGTGCTTCCAGGCTGCCCCGCTGAGCTCATGGTGGTCCGCGGCCACGCTGGCCTGAGTGGCTAGGAAAGGAACTTCTCCTCTGTTCTGTTTCCCACGGTTGGCTCACCTCGCTTGTGGCAAGCAGAGCTGCCCTTCCTTGCCTTGCCCACGTGGATCCGGCCCTCACCATGGGCCGCAGAAGGCAAACTCATGAGTGTTCGAGGTCGGCAGTGTCCCAGGAGGCCCGTCACCCCAAGAGCTGGTCATCAGTCCCGCATATTTCCTAATGTGTATTGTTTTAAAAGTTGAGGGAGCTCAGTAAGAGTGCATTCATTCAGGCACAGTGGGTAAGTCAGGGTCCATCTCACCAGGAAATACCGCGCAGGTATTGAAGAGAAGGGGAAGAGAGAGAAAATACAGTTGGCAGCCTCATTTCCAAAGTAGGAAATAACTGCCTGGTGGCTGTGCACTAAATCTGACCTGTGTGTGTGTGTGTGCGCGCGCACACACACATGCATGTGCAAAATAATTATACATGTATCGTCTATAGATTTATTTGCCAATATTTAAATTTCAAGGATTTTCACATCAAATAATCTATAATTCTAGGATCTCTTTAAACACGAGATGGGCAACACCCAGGCCCTCAGTCCTACTCAGCAACCTGAGGCTTGAGCAGAGTAGCCAGCTGGAGTTTCCAGCTCACCCCATTTCCTGTCTGGCCTCTTGGGGTGCCTGGGTTTGCAATCGCTGCTTTCCCTCCCTCCCCCTCTGCCTCCTGATGAGGGCCTACGTCTCCTGCCAGTACTGAGAACCTCCTTGGATGCTCACAACCCTGCAGGGTCCCTAACTTTACTTATCAGATGAAAAAAATGAGGTCCAGAGACAGGAAATGACTCACCCAGGGTCACCCAATGCGCGCTGGGCAGAGTACAGGTCAAGCCTGGGCAGCCTAACTCTGGGATTTAAGGGAAAATTGTGATTTTAATATTTCAGAAGTTTCTAAAGGAAGAAATGGATTCTATCGCATCCCTAACTAATTGTCCCTCACAGAGGCAGTGGCTGCTGGCAACAGCCTGGCTTGCGTGCTGCTTGTCTCTGCCCGTACAGAGGCCTGCGTTCACGCTCCCACAGATGGCTTTGTGTTTTAAGATGGTGCTAAGAAGCCAGGATCGTGCTACGGATGCTCCGCACTGTGCCCTCTCAGTGTCTGCGTCTGGAACACGTGGGTCCCCTGGGCCTCTCCCATCACCCCACAGTCCTAAAAGGAGGGCCAGGGAGGGGCAGCCCTGGGGTCTTCCTGCTCATGTCCTGTGTCGCTCCTCCGTTCTTCGGGCCTCAGCTCCCCCGCAGGACCTGACAGGAGACAAGGTGGGTGAAACAACTTCTCCATATTTGGAAAGAAATCCTCTTCCCCCATCAGGCCTTAGGAGCAGCGCCCCGGGCACATTCAGGAAATGGGGCAGGTTCCTGGGAGCAGTTCTGGCCCAGGTCACCTTAAAGGCGTCTTCCAAGCTCATTCCCATGGCAGAAGGCCACTTGGACAAAGGGCTAGGGCTCTGGCCTTCTGTGTTCTTCTGTGTTCTAGCTCTTCCTCCTCTGCTTTCTCCAAAGTGCTCAGGAAACAGCGCATGTCCCGCAGCTGCTGCCTTCTGGGGTTGCCTGGCCACGCCCCGATGGTCCGGGAACCCCTGCAGAGCCCAGCAGCCTCAACCTCCCATCCGCCACCTCCATTCCTCAGGGGCACGGAGACACAGCAAGAGAAGTCAGAGGACATTTAAATCCAGGCTCTGCTGCCTTAGCTGAGTTACCGCAACTTCCAGTGCCTCAGTTTCTCCATTTGTCAAATGGGGACAACGCTCCTGTTTTCAAAGGGTTATTCTGAGCCTGAGGTGAGAGGAAGGCCATCCTCCTCCCCGTCCCCACATCCCCGGGATCCCTGACCAGTGAGGCGCGGCTGCTGTCGTCTCTGCCGACGCCTGTGGCCAACCCGAGGACCTGTGTTACCGAGTCATAATCACCCCCAACTCCATGAGCTAAGATGCACCCCAAAGGGAAGCTGAAACCACGCAGGAGTAAATCGGCCGGCACCACCCTCTAGCTCAGCGCCCCCGCTCCACTGGCCCGGCCCAGACCTGCCGGAGCCCCCTGGAGTCACACAGGCCTGGCACTAGCAGGCTGTGTGCGCTGGTCATTCCTCCACTCTGGGCTCGCTTCCTGCCACTCCGTTTACCTCCACCCCCACCGCACCCCCAGCTCGGAGCACCCGCCGGCAGTGTGCTGGGTACACACTGAATTCAGTAGGTGCCCTTTTGCTGTTTTCTTTCTGCTTCACTCAAATACCACCAGTACAATGGTGCTGTATAATGTGGGTTTCCATTTGAAACAAATCTGGGGAAAGTTCTCACACAAACAGGAAACCTTAATACACGAAAAGCCGACCGCTGGGAGGCCCCACCGGCCCACCTCATTCCCGTTCTGGCCCTGCAGTGCTGAGTGAGCGGCCAGCTGCCCTCTTCTGTGCAGCCGGGGCTGCTTTAGCAGCTTGAGAACCTGTGGGTTTCCCATGAAGTCAGCCTCTTCCGTGCAGCTGTAAGCGCCAATGAGGAAGCTGTGAAGTCATTTCCCACTGTATTAAAATGATGGGATTAATTAAGAAGGCCACCCCCTCGATTTGCTTTTAGCTTGGATGAAAATAGCCTCTATGAAAAGCAAAAACTCACCAGGACTGACATCTCAAAGGGTGGACCAGGAACCATGGGGCCGAAGGCTGCAAAGCATCGACTGGCTGAGATACAAATGTTGGTGGCAGTTTCACTGGGGAGAAGTGTTCATCAGGATCACTCCAGTATGGGGCAGTACTCTAGTTATGAAGTGCCGTAGGTTTTGAGGGGTCTTGTCTCAGCCCAGCTTTCTCGTTTGCCTTGTTAAGGGTGGTGCCAGATCCCGCAGAGAGTAAGCCTTTGGGCATACACCTGTGCCATCAGGTGTCGAATACGCTGTACCTACTGTGTGCACCCAGACGTTTGTTTATCTTATTCCCTCTACCTGGGCCGCTTGAGTCCAACACCTGGAAAGTTCTAGGTCATCTTCCAAAGCCCAACGCAGGGAAATCCTCCTTGGAGAAACCCTCCAGAGTCCTTCCTGGCGGAGTTGACTGTCTCCAGCCACATGCCCTCTTTCGGCCTATCTCCCTTCTTCCAGACAATGGTGACTAGACTGTGGGTTTCCCCAGTGCATCTGTGTCCCCGGTGTCCTGTGCAAGGCCCAGACTCGATCAAGTAGGCAGAGGTGAATGGCTTTTCGAAAAGTAGAAGTGAAAAAGCACAAGTTGGTGAACAACCTTGGACACAGGGTGTTGGGAACCGGTTCACAGAAAACCTGAATTTTCTGCAGCGGCTCATCTGTGCTTGACTACACATCTTTTCTCTCTCTCTCTCTTTTTCAAAGATTTATTTGTTTGTTTGTTTATTTATTTTTAGAGAGAGGGGAAGCAGGGGAGGAAGAGAAGGAAGAAACAACAATATGACAGAGAAACATCGATCTGTTGCCTCTCACACACCCCCAACCAGGGACCTAGCCCACAACCCAAGCATATGCCCTGACTGGGAATCGAACTGGTGACCTTTCAGTCTGCAGAGCAACACCCAAACCACTGAGCCACACCAGTCAGGGCCACATCTTTTCTCTTAAAACAAAGAAGCTGAGGGAGGGGCAGACATTACAGAAACTCAAAAGCCACCAAGGAAGGAAGGGCACCCCTGAATCCGCCTGCTGGCGTGGAGAGCAGAGCAGACATCGCATGCTGGAGACTTACACTGAGGGCTTAGCGGGCAGTTTCGGGTTTAACCTCACAGTCTCTCTCAGAGGGGGGTATTTGCTTTATAAACAAGGAAATCGAGGCTCAGAGAGGAAAATGACTCTCCTGAGGTCTCAGGGAGAAATAGAAACCCAGGTGGGACTCCGAAGTTGGTGGTCTTCACGATTCCGATTCACCTACAAGGGGAAAGGGTGGGAGTGGGCCTGGAACACAGTGGCCCAGACTCACCCTCCCTGGAAGGGCCCGTTTCACTCAGACAAATGTCACGAAGCACCCTGGACCTCTAATAGCCTGTGAAGGGACAAAGGGATGGGTATTACTACATCACAAGAGCACTCTACAGTTTGCAATTCATTAACTTCCTCATCGTGTACTTCTGAGGAAGGACAGAATGCTTACCTCATGACATAGGTAAGGAAACTAAGGCAAGGGCAGGGATAATGACTTGCTCAACATCACACAGCAAGTCAGTGAAGGAACAAAGGCTCAAAAATAATTTCAGTGAAGCTCTTAGATAACAACCACACGCTCTGGACAAAGTTCAGTGCTCGGGAAAATGAGCAAAAGCAGGGAGATTTTGAGGGAAGTCAAAATATGGATGAAATGATGAGCAGAGTGAAGGCTCCATTTTTACAGCAAAAAGTCCAATGAAAAGCCCGCCATCTTTCTGGCCTGAAAAACCAGAGGCCAGAGTCCGGGGCATGACTGCAGGGGAGGGCGGGACAGATAGGGCTCCAGGAGAGGAGCGGAGCCCAATACATCATTTAAATATTCATCAAAGCTGAGGCCCTGGCCACCTGGACCAACAGGAAGAGAATTCAGAAAAGACTCAGGCAATAGATTTGTGAAATTCACACTTAAGATAGAGCAGACTGGGTGAGGCGTGCAACTCCGGGTAGAGGGCCGCGGCTCCCCCATCAGCTGTTCGTTCCCAAAGCCCGTTTCCGTGGCCTTTGAGATTCCAGGCATCCAGGAATTTGTGCTTCCACGGCAGCAGGAATCTTCCTCCCTGCACCTCTTTCCACACGACGACGAGGTAACCCTCTGACAGCAGGTAGCCTCTGTCCGCCTCATCTCATTTCACACCTGTCCAGAGATCACCTTGCCTGCTCTCTTAAGTTGGTCCTGCTCCTCCTCAAGCTTGGAGAGGGTTCACCTTGTTCTGCCTGAGTGCCTTCCTTCCTTGTCCTTTATTTTTACTTTGGGGTTGAGACCTCAGTTTCCCAGGAGACGCTTCTGGAGTCCATCTTGCAGGGCCGACCCTACGGAAAGAGGAGAAACCTAGAACTATGGGATCTGCCAGAGGCTCTCACTGCGGAAACAAGTCGAGCCCCCCTCACCTCCCAGAGTGGGGTGAGTCCATCCAGAAGGTCTTTCCCACCAACCCACCATTTAACTTTGACCTGAATGCCACCCGCAGCTCCCATCCCTGGGTCCCTTGAATGTGTCCCATCGTCTTTTACCTCTTTCCCTCTGAGTCTCATCCCAGCACCCTCCTGCATACACTGCTCAAGGTACAGGCCAATCTTCCCTCCCCATCTACATCTTTGTCACCACGAACCTCACAAATTTACTTCTGAAATACTTTATTCTGATCTCCCTACGCATATCTGCTCTGAGCTTAACGGCCCCTCTGGGGTTCTTATTAAACCTCTATCCAGCCTTGAGATAGTGCCTTTTGATCATCTCCTCCATCCCTGCCCCCTTAGTGGGAGTTAAATGCCCCCTTCATCCTCTTTGCGCTCTGCCCCTTCCAGGATCTAACAGTGAACACATCCCTGGCAGCAACAAGTCAGGGGTGGTTGTAGCCTCTGCTGCCCCTCATTGCTTCATGTTTGCACATGCGAAATATTGAGAAAGAAACCCAGTGGAGCATGAGAAACATAGACACCATGCTGAGGCCCTCTGCTACAGGACATCACTTCACGATGAAGTGGGTAGAAATTATTTGAGTTTGTCTCCAACTGGAGATGTTGTGAGTGCACTTGCTGCTGTGTATGGGGCCCTTGGATCCGGAACAGGTGGCAGAAGGCCATTTTTGTTTGTCTGAGAAGAGTGCATGCATGTATGATAGTCACCATACATAGTAAACACAAAATCAGGCGGCCTCTTGACCTGAGACTTTCCCCCACGGGTTTCTGTCCCTATTGCCCATTCTTCTTCCTCATCCCTTTAAGATGGCCTCATGCCTGAGAGGTGGTGGCTGAAAACCCAGCCTGTCACTTGTCCTGATGAACTCTTTGCTGTGATGGCTTGTTGCTGGGCCTCAGATCTGGAAGAGAGGCCCAGGTTCCAGCAGCTGGTTCAGTGTCTCCCAGGGTTCCCTGCAGCCCTGGGGGCCTAGGTGTGACTCGCTCCTCACAGCCCCACAGCATCCGGGGGCAGGTGCCTGTCAGGCCCCCTGGGAGCCAGCACAGATGCTCCCCCCATCAAGCCACGCCAGCAAAGCGCATCTGACATCTGTGTTCCAGGATACCATGCCTTTGGATGTTGTAGAACCTGAACTCATTAAGGTAGACATGATAATATGGAATATTTTCTAGACATCACTTTTATTGGATTGAACTGAAAAGGTTTTTGTAAATTTTCGGCCAAAGGATTTTATTTTAAAGATTTTTAAATTTTATTTTTAAAGAGAGGGGGAGGGAGGGAGAAAGAGAGGGAAAGAAATATTGATGTGAGAGAGGAACATCGATTGGTGGCCCCTTGTACTGGCCCCAGCTGGGGACCAAACGTGCAACCCAGGCCTGTGCCCTGAATGGGAATCTAACCAGTGACCTTACACTTTGTGAAATGATGCCCAACAAACTGAGCCACACCAGTCAGGGCAGCCAAAAACTTCTAAAACATAGTTGCTTTGGTCTAGCAGTACATTCTTACAAAATAAATAAACAGTTTTTAAAAGGGTTTAAATACTTGGAATAGCCATTTAGTGCTAACTGCTTTTTATTTTTGACTTAAGGTAATGTAGGTGATTCACCTTTAAAGTTTAAAAAATATTTATTACATGTCTTGGGAACGTTTAGTCTTCAAGATGCAATACTTTTTTTAGGAAAAGAAAAACAGCATAAAAAGAAGATGGAGACATAGGTAGAGACACTTTGCCTCCTTGCACAACCAAAAGAAGAACAACAACAAATTTAAAAACAAAGCATAATCAGAACTTCCAGAAAATCGAACTATAAGAAAATCTGACAACCAAGGAGTTAAAGAAGAAACATTCATCCAGACCGATAGGAGGCGCAGAGACGGGCAGCCGGGGTGGAGAGGATGCACAGCAAGGCGGACTGGGTGGCCCCACGTTTGCGTGTGGCTAAAACAGGAAGGACAGCTACGGGGAGACAACTCTAATAGCATAATCAATAAAATTATTTAAAAAAGAAAAAAAAGGAAGAAAAACATCATAAAAAGGCTTCTGCTTTGCCTTGTACAGGAAAAGGCAATGTTGGAGGGAGGACACTTGAAAGCTAGAAGGAAAAAAATAAATTTTAAAAATTCTTATTAAAAACAGAAACTGCTCTTCTGTGGAAAATTGTTTCTGTTTTATTTTTAATAAAAAGAAGTTCTGCTTTTTTTATTTTTGAGGAGAAAGGGGTTGAGTTCATTGAAACATCTTGAATTTGGCAGAAATTAGCTTTTGTAGGAGACAGAAGTGGGTTTGAGGCAGATCAGTAGTCACAATGACAACTTTGTTTATTTATATTCTCTGATGATAGAGTTTCAGGAGGTGAAATCATGTTTCAGAGTCTGAGGACCCCTCTGACCTCACCTAGAATAGCGCTGCCCACGGAGCGGGCGCTGGAGTTGTGGTTAAAAACTGTAAACGGGTCAATTTTGTGCTTATCTTTAAGACTGGCTTAAGTAAAAAATTGTATTTTAAAACACTTTAATCACAGGATTTGTTTTTTATTAAAAAAGAAAAAAGAATAAAAGGAAAGAAAAAAAAAAGAAGAAAAGGAGCAGCGGTCCTGGAGAACCAGGCCAAGGCTGAGGGGCGGCCTCAGGGAGCACCGCCCCGGCCCCCGTCCCTGCGCGCTTGCCCTCCCTCCTTGAACTGCGCCTGCAGCGCCTGGAGCTGGGCCTCCACTCTCTTCAGCTTGTGGTCTGCATCTGCTTTGCCCTGCAGCAGCACCTTCACCTCACTGGCCAGCTCCCCTCGCTCAGTCTCCAGGGCCGGCTTGGCCTGCTCCAGGCTGGCTTTGACCTGGCAGGGAGGAAGCACAGCTGTGAAGAGGGGCACCCATGCCCTGTCATGGAGCTGGTCTCTCCAGTGTCCCAGGAAGAACCACGGGACTCAGATCCAGATGCTCCTGCCTCTGTTGCGAAAGGGATTTGGGGGAAGTCTCGGAGCTGCCCGTTACCAAGAGTCTAGGTCTCAGAAGGCTCCCACCTGATCTGTCCCCATCACTCAACTGGTTGTGACACCCAGCATGTGTCCTCCTGTCTGAGGGCCTCAGGGCAGATGAGAACGTGCCTGGACATCTGGCCAGTGAGAAGCAGAACTCACTGGCCATAACCACACACCTCAGAAGACCACCTAGAACCTGGAAACTGCTTCCATATGAGCCTCATGTGTGAGAGGCAGAGGGACACTCAGGGCACAAGCATCTTGGAGGGACCCCTCCTCTCCTGGCCCCAAATCACAGCCGGAGGTGCTGATTACACACAGTCTCCTTTCACCCCAGGGAGCCTTGCTACTTAAGGAAGCCCTGCAGGGACTCCTTTCATAGGGAACCACCCCACTCATCCCTGGAGCTCCCCCAGTGTGTTTTGGTCCCCTCCCAATGCTGGCCCTGCGCTGCCCTGTGGGCCAGAGGGCAGTGCCCCCGAGAGCCCCATGGCCCCGTCCACCTCCTGCAGCTGAGCCATCTCAGCCTCCATGCTTTTCAGCTTCTTCTCGTTTTCCAAGGCCTGCGCCAGGATGTCCTTGCTGGAGGCCAGCGGGTCCTCCAGCTCTCGAATGTAGTCCTTCTTCTGGACTTGGGGGTGGGGAGGAGATGCTGGACACCCCCAACCCAGTGGCCGCCCTCCTGCCCCTGCCCCGCCATCTGCCCTCCCACCTCCTCCAGGAACAACCAGCAATAGGAGCTTGTGGCTGCTTTTCACCCTGACACCACCCTGGACACCACCATTAACCAGCTTAACTAGAAGGGCTAAATAATGGTTCAAGCAAACTGTCTCTTTGACCTCTTCTATTTGCACAACTCTTGACTATTATGATCCACAGTCCCACTCTGGGCATGTTCCCCACGGTGCGCATATCAGCCCCAGCTCAATGGGTTCCACTCTGCAGCTCCCTGGGCACCGGGATCCTGCACTGCTGCACTGTCCCCAGCACACGGCGGTTCCCCTGCCAGGTCACCCCGACCACAGCGCAGGACTCCTTCCCTGTGTTAGCCAATGAGAATCACTGAACAGAAAACCCCTGATAGAGCCCCTGACTCCCCCGCCCTTCCTGAGGACAGAGGACTGGAAGAAATGGCCAAGGACCCCTGGACAACCCAGGTAGAGGAAGGAGAGAGAGGAAGCCTGCTGGGAACGTGGGTGGCCCCAGACCGGGGAGAGCAAGAGGGACATACACACCTGCCTGACCAGCTGCTGCTGCTTCTCCTCACTCTGCTCATCCCGTCCCTGCAGGCCCTGCTCGAACTGGGCCTTCACGGCCTGCAGGTTCCCCTCCAGTCGCAGGTTGGCATCCTCCGTGGCCTGCAGCTCATCCTCCAGCTCCTCGAGCTGGGTCTTCATCTCTTCTACCTGCTGCTCCAGGGCCCGCTTAGACTTCTCCAGCTCGTGGACCTGCCACCCGAGGGAACCCACGTCGTGAGCAGAGGGACAGGACGTCCCCAAGGTCCCTGCCTCATGTCTGTTCACCTACAAGTCCTCTGTACTGTCCCCCTTGGCCCCTCCCAAACTCACACTCTTGTCCACGTCATCCTTGGAGCTCGTGAGCTCCTCTATCTCCGTGCGGAACTGCTTGTTGAGCTGCTCCAGCTCTGCCTCCTGCAGAGTCTTGTGAATGTGCATGAATTCCTTTAATTTACTCTCCAGCTGTTGGGCCTGCTGCCTCAGCTCTTCAGCCGACTGTGCCTTTGACCCCTCATGCAAGTGATTTGCCTCTTTAACAAGGTTGATCACATCCACCAGAAGTGTGAGAACCACAGAGGCTCCCTCAGAGACCCTGGTTTCTTTGGTCCTTGTCAGAACTGTGCCTCCAAAAGCTTCCTGCAGCTCCTTGCGGCTTTCATTTGAGATATTCCCAGTGGTCATGAACACCTTGGCCTTGGCTACTAAGTTAGGGTTGACTTTGGCCTGCTTATAGGCCTTGATGTTCTTCACAATGTCTTGCAGGGCTTTATAGCAAGACTCTGTTAAGGCATCTATTTCAGATTTTCTCTGACGTACATGCTCTATGACCATGTTCCATTGATTGATGCTGGTTGACATTAGGCTACTGGCTTCACCTTTTGCTGATTGGTTCTCTATGTGTTCCACGATGCTGGAGGACACTCTGGTGACAGCTGCTGCTGCCCCCAGGCCTACCCCGGTTGCCATAAGCACCAGACTGGTCCCTGCTGTCAGAGGTGCCAGGAACAGGCCACCGATGGTCAGAATACCAGAAACAGCACTGGTGGAAGTGGCCACCATGTTGGTGATGGTACAGTCCCTGTGCACCTTGTCGACCTTGTCTGCCAGCGCGTAGAGCTTCCCTATGCGCTTCTCGAGCTCCTGTTTCACCTGAGGAAACTCCTTCATAAACATCTCCCTAAGCTGGTGGTCTTCGTGTTCCGTAGCCATGAGTCCTTTCAGCTTGTTCAAGTCTTCATAAAGCACATCAAACTTACCCCTGTAATAGTGAAGGTCAAGGGATTAAGAACGGCAGTTTACCTGTCTGTAAAATGGGCTCAATAAGATTCATCTTGCATAATTCCAAAGTTTTGACTATAAATCAAATGGGAAAGAATTTTACAAATGCAAAAATTTTTCCTTCAACATTAAACACATATTTTGTCTCTGGTACATGCTCCATAGCATTTATCTGATCAGGGAATAAATAAAGGAAAGTCCTTCTAGGATTCTCTGACATGGTAAGTATTTGATGAACATCGCTTCTCACTCAGAGCAGGTCGATCCCATCACCACTGAAGTGTTTGTGGACGAGGAACTCCAAGAGTGAACAAGGGAGAGTGGGGTTGTAGTAAAATAAAACCCTCATTCAGATAATTTTAGAGCACTACTTTAGAGCATTCCTGGTGTGCCACGTGAATTTTTAAAACATGTAATACCTGACTATTTAGTAAGGTGCACTGACCTCTTTTCCCTTAGATTGTCAAAAATTAACAAACAATGAACAAACAAAAACAGTAGAAAACATAACAATAGTCACCTGGCGTGAATGAATTAAAACTACACCTATAGTTTTGGTCCGACAGGCAAAAATTACAACATTTTCTGGCATGCCATAGACTTTCAGTAATTAGTTGGTGTGTGCCATGAGATGGCAAAGGTTGAAAATCCCTGTCTTAAAGTGCGGTGCAGACTTGACCTGACCGCAGAGAGGTCTGTCCTTTGTCTTATATACTGGGATGTGATCACTGGGTCCCTCGAATGCCCTCACTGATGGGAGCCCTTGTTTGCCTGGCCTGTGGTCTCTGACAGTGTGACAAGGTAATGTATGATGGAGGCTTTGAGTCACATGGTATCATTTCTGGCCAAAAAAGGAACTAGAAACTAAAGGCATGTCTTTTTTATTTTTAATGAGAAAACAAATTAAATTTTGATGTTTCCAAATGTTTAAATATTTATACTTTTTAAAACATTTTGACAAGATTTTATTTATTTATTTTTAGAGGGGGGAAGGGAGAGAGAAAGAGAGGGAGAGAAACACCAATGTGTGGTTGCCTCTCGCGTGCCACCATGGGGGACCTGGCCTGCAACCCAGGCCCGTGCCCTGACTGGGAATCGACCTGGTGACCCTTTGATCCACAGTCTGGTGCTCAATCCACTGAGCCACACCAGCCAGGGCTAAATATTTATACTTTTTAACAAAATAGTTAAAATAGAAAAAAATTTTTTTTTAAAGTTTTACTTGTTGATTTTTAGAGAGAGAGGAAGGGAGAGAGACACACACATGGATTTGTTGTTCTGCTTATTTATGCATTCACTCCTTGACTCTTGTGTGTGCCCTGATGGGGGATGGAACACATTGTTGGCTTACTGATACGGCACTCTCACCCACTGAGCAACCCAGCCAGGGCCAATAAAAATAGTTTTAAAAGAAAAAATACAAACAAAATCTGATTCTACACAGATTAACTTTAGTCTGTAGAAGATGGAGACCAGATTACCTTTTAGAATCAATGAGTAAAATATTCAAGGAAAGACCAAATGAATCCAAGAGAACTTAAAAATAGTACAAAACAAAAATAAAAAAACCCTGGACCGTTACCTCTCTCGCACACTCCACAGGGGACCTGGCCCACAACCTAGGCATATGCCCAGACCAGGAATCGAACTGTGGCCTTTCTGTTTGCAGTACAATGCCCAAAAACTGAGCAACGCCCGTCAGGGCTGAAAAGTGACGTTAAAAATCTGGTTTTTAAACACTATCCAAAGTTAACTCTACTATATTTCTTTAATACTTTAGACTTATTCCATGAATGACAAATAAAAGGTGACTTTTTCCAATGCTAATATATTAAACATACCAGGTAACTAGTAACATAACTGGTAACATTTTTCACTTATAAACCTCAAGGGTATAAACATTACAAATGATAAAATTAAAATAAATGTCTTGAATATAATATTTGATCATAGAGAACTGCCATTTTCATGGTTATACATATTCCCTTAGGTAAAATATTTACCTATAGCTGTGTCTATAAAGACAAAACAGCATAGTATGGGATGTCCTTTAATGAAATCATGGAAGCTACTGAATTACTAGTACTACTTTTTCTCTTAAGTGGGTGACTATATGACTTCACAGTTTCAGCCTAGAGCTTTATATGAAGTTAGTGCTCAAAAAACACTGGTGGCTTATTTGGGAAGAGGAATGTGTCTTCATCTGTACAACCTCTCCATTTGTCTTTCTCGCCTCACTTCAGATGGGCAATATTAAGAATTTTCTTATTTGAAAGATGCTGTTTACACTATCATGACATAAGCCCCAGACTGGGAAAAGGTATTGGGAAAACATATTTCTGATGAATGACTGGTATCTAAAACAAATTTTAAAACTCTCATAACTCAGAAGGTATACAGACCAATTGTTTTAAGGGATAAACAATTTGAACAATTTGTGAAAGATTTATGGGTGGTAAATAAACACATGAAAAAAAATGTTTACATCATTAGTCATTAGGGAAATGTCAGTTCAAGCTACAAAGAGATATCCCTACAAACCAACCAGGAAGGCAAAAACCGCAAAACTCTCAATGTTGAGTGTCAGTAAGAATGCAGAGCAACTGGACTTCTTATGTTCTGTTGCTGGAATGTATCATGTTTCAACCGCTTTGGAAACTAGTCTGGCAGTCATAAAGTTAAACATGCATTTAGCCCTGGCTGGTGTGGCTCAGTGGACTGAGTGCCAGCCTATGAACCAAAAGATCACAGGTTTGATTCCCAGTCAGGTCAGGGCGCACGCCAAGGTTGCTGGTCAGGTTCCCAGTAGGGGGCACGCGAGAGGCAACCACACACTGATGTTTCTCTCCCTCTCTTTCTCTCACCCTTCCGCTGTCTCTAAAAATAAATAAATAAAACCTTAAAAAAACCCAAACAAACATGGATTTACATTATGAAATACCAATCCACTTTCAGGTATTTGCCCAAAAGTAATGAAAAGGCAAACAAGACCTGTAGGCTCACTTTTATAGCAGCTTTCTGCATAATTATTAAAAACTGGATACCCAAATGTCCATGAATGGGCCTCTGGACAGGATGATTGCGTGTGCTCCCTCACCCTTGACCCCAAAGTACACGCTAAGGCCTTCCCCATAATCCTATCAGATGACCTGCTGTTGCCATTGAAGAGAGATATGACAAATCAGAGACTCTAAGACACAAACCCAGAGCCCCAGAGCTGGGCAGGGACAGTCAGATTCAATGAACACCGCCCAGCTCCATCCAGCCTCTCTGCCATCTGGGCCAGCAGGACCCTGCACTGTTTGGTACAGGCCCTTACTTAGGGAGAGAGAGCCCACTAGCGAAATCCTCGGGGACACCAAATGTACCAGGGTGTTTCTGGCTTATCCCCAAGCAAGTCCTGCTTGCCTCTCAACCCCAAGAATAAGACTCTAAGCCTCTCCCTGTGTCTTCTCAAAAATCTTTTTAAACGTTTATGTTAACTGAGTACCTACTATGTGTCGGTCATTAGGGCAAGCAATTTAAATGCATTATCTTATTTTCCTCACAATGAAATTGAACAGATGAGTAAGACATTGAGTCATTAAGTAACCTTTCCCCTGTGGGTTCCCTCTCTTCTCAACCTGAGGCCGTTCAGTGCCAACAAATGATATGAAGGAAGTCTTCCTCATGGATTGTTGAGGAGAAACATATTCATCCCCAGTGACAGGATCCTGCCTGGAGGGGGTAAGTATGACAGAGGAGACTAGATCCAGGGGAGATCTGGGTGGCAGTACAAGCGTCTCCCGGAGGTCACCTGGGCACATTGTCCACAGACGCACATTTCTTCCAGGCTTCGTCTTTCAGCAGCCTTTGCAGTTTCTCTATGCCCGTTGTGTTCAGTAAAAGCTCAGGGGCACCAAGAGTCACTTGGCTCTCTAGGTGGAAAGAAATAAGAATAAGGTGAGAAGAAATTTTGGTAGAACGTAAATAGCATCGCGTATAAGTAAGTTGGTTAAATGTTAATCCTCCTGAGCAGCTCTCGCCTGGGGTGCTTCTGGTGGCCCACCTGGGGTTGAGGGCTGAACAGGGTTCTCAGAATCCATAGGGTGAGGCGCTGACACCCCATGGGAGTGCAATTTGAAATTACCTTTAAGGAGGTTATTACGGTTTAATGAGGTCCTACATGTGGGGCAATAAACCATTGTCACTGGTGTGCTTACAGGAAGAGGGAGAGACACCGGATCTCTCTCTCCCCCCCGCCCCGCACCCCCCACACACACAGAGGCAAAGCCATGGGAGGACAGGGCAGGAGAGCAGCCGTCTGCGCCCCAGGAAGAGGGGCCTCGCCAGCAGCAGCCCTGCCAGCACCTTGACCTGGGACTTCTGGCCTCCAGAATTTACTGTCTACCTCCTGGGATCTCAATGTGTTCAGGATTTTACCATGTTGACCATTGAGAAAGACAGCCCAGGGCACATGTGGTGTGTTACCTACCATGTCCAGCAGGGCCTGGGCAGCACCCAGTAAACAACTGTGCTCCTGTTTCCACAGGGAAACAAGTGAATATTCACCTTAAATGGGAGAAATCATGTAACGACGGTAAACGTTCTCAAGTCAGCGCAGAGCAAGATGACTTTTTGGCAAGGGTTGCGAAAAAATGTTTGGCTCTCAGGGATTTGGAGGCTGTGGAGCGGCAGCTGAGAGACTGGGGACGGGTGTGTATATTGTGTGTGCAGAGACATGAGGTAGAATGGGATCCCCGCTACACTCACACAAGAGAACTGTTCTCATTTCACAGAAAAAGAAAGGGAAACTCAGGATAAGTGACGGCCCAAAGACAACAAGCTCCGAGGTTGAATCCAAGGTCAATGTCAGACATTTCTTTACATGAATTTGCTGCCTCCTTACGTGTTCAAAAGTCATGTGACTTCTGCATCCCACTCTGTAGTATACCTGGGGTGTGTTCTTTTAAATTGAAAGATATTTCAGAACATGC